CCCCCCACCCACTTTGATGCATTTTTCAAATTTCACCTTGGGGCGGAGTTATCTTTTCACAGGGGGGTAAGATACACTTTAAAGAGATGAGTTGATCTGAGACACACCTCAGAAAAGGGGTGAAAGAGGGGCTTATGGAGTTACAATAAGGAGGAATTCACACCAAAGCATTGCAGTTCCACGTTATATAGACCAACTGAATGATTTAACTGTGAAAAAGAAGAATTTAAAAGCATGATATGTCCACTTTAAAACTTTGGTGTGAGAGTCAACCCTGTTTGTYTTTTAYCCAAATATCAGGACAGAAAATAATRTACATCTACAACTGATTATCTTTTAGGGTCAGCCCAACTCAAGATGGCCACCACAGCTAACTGAACTTATCAAGCACTTATCGCACAAATGACTGTTATTCAGTCAGTTTGAGTAAACTTTTCTGTGGTAGTTGCTGAAAGTCATTTGTGAGTTATACAGGGAGCACAAACAGCTCACACAAGATTTCACGTTATTACATCAGATTGTGTATAACRTTATGTTCAAGGTTTGACCAAAATGGCTATTGCTCTGTCATTTCTCAGCACAAGATGATCTTATCTCTGGTATGAAAGGCGGTGGGTGATATCCTAAGGAATGCCGTGCCTTTTTAAATATAAATCCAATTATGACGTTTGCGAATACTGAACGCTCATTTGGTGTTGAGCTGAATGTCGACGTGGGGAGCACACCGAACAATAAAGGTCTGGTTATACTTCACCAAGGCACACCTCTGTTGATCACTTTTGTGGCGCGAYGCTTCCTGCCGGAGAGTCACCGTCTGCTTTGAAGTGATGATGCACGCAAAGGGAGAAGGATATTTTTGAAAAGGAGTGACAAATGTTTACCAGCAAGACGAGTCATGGCCTTTTAAGCACAGATCAGTCAGGATGATCTAGGTCTGAATCTGCCCGTTAAAACAGCAAAGATTATGAAAAACCAGTTTGCACTTCACRTGACTTGGTTTGTTGCTCTTGGTTTGCTCATGCATATGGTATTGATATTAGCATCATCATGGAGTTTCACCCGCCGTTCTTTTCCCGTTTGTAAACAAAAGCAACCCCACCCCCCCTACCCCCACCACAACAGTCTTTTTGCATCACATCCTGCTTCCTCTGAGCTCCACCTCCTCCTGGCACCTCTCTGGTGGGTTTCCAGCTGTGTGAGGGCATGTGTGAAAAGCAGCTCCAGAGAAAGTCTGGACCACAACGTGTGCACATTACTCAGAATAGCTGCAGTGTTTATGTGTGAAAATGTGTGGATGTGTTGCCAAAATACAAAATACTAGTGAGGATGATGTGATTTTTAAATCTGATTGATACTAATTGGGTTTTTTTATTTATAATTTATTTTTTTGGATAACATTTTCTATAAGATGTTGGACTCCCTTCGCATTGTATGATAACATTGTCTAAGAAAAATGGTTTGATTTTCAAAGTTAAGTTAGCCTTTTTAAAAATTGATCTCAAAACATAATCTCTGCACAAAACATAAGGACATTTGTTTTTTAGGTTATTTCTTTGTTGTAAATGCTTCTTKGCAATAAAACTTATACCAATGAAAAGCCTGTTAATTTTCATTTAAACTCTGCCACATTTATAAGGAACATACATTTGTGGGATGAGCAGTAGAGCTGATTATGTGCTTTGCGAACATGAAAAGTTTATTAAATCTTCTCTGCCAAACAGCTTATTGTATTGATGTATTGATTATTGTTTTGAGCTTTTTATCCCCTCCAGGTGCTGCCAATCAGTGCCTAGTATAAGATTTATTGTCAAGAAGCATTGTTACAACAAAATAATCTACCAAACATTAATTTCTTTACTTTTTGTGTTAAATATATTTATCATTCGTTGACAGGTGAAAGCAGCAATGGTTTTGTCTGTGTTTATGTATGTCTGCATTTGAGTTGTATTCAAGTCCAGCCCAGTCGTCTTCAAGAACCACGACCTGCTGCTGTGCTGATATATTTCTGCTTTGACACACCTGATTGAATGAATGAGTGATTTAAAATACTCCTGCCTGTTCTCTGAGAACCATGCTGAATTGCAGAAAAACAACTAAACCATGCAGGATAGTGGCCCTCACGGACCACCATTGAGCGGTGGTCAATGCTGTTAAGCTAGCAAAATGTCTCTTGGACCACTGGTTCAATTTTAATATAAGTCTTGGAAAAGAATCACTGGATGTTTAATGTACAATAACAATTTGGAGTCATCCTAATTTAAGATGAGCACAAAAGCCATTGGATCTTTTGTTAACACAAAAATTGGTTGATACCTTTTTAATAGTAGTAGAGTGTGTGGGCGGTGAGACACTTTGGCCATGTGTGCTCAGTTTGACTGACTGATGTATTGTGTTTAAAGTCCAGGGTTTGTTGGTTTTGTTGGGACAGCACACACTTTTTTATTTTTTTGCTGTTTGGTACCAGCTGTGGTGACTATCACAGAGGTGGTCTGTCCACAGGAAGCTTACTTTGGTGTGTGTGTGTGTGTGTGTGTGTGTGTGTGTGTGTGTGTGTGTGTGTGTGTGTGTGTGTGGTTGATTTTTTAACACATGCCACAGTTAGATCTGACAAAATGAGATATCGCCTGACTTAGGCAAGTCTATGAGTTGTTAAACTTTTTGTAACGAAGCTTGTAGAGCAATTCAATAAAACAGTGCTGCTTACTATTAAAAGTAAACTTTCTCCTAATTATATTAAGACAATCCTCCCTTTTAGACGCCTTTGTGACCGTACAGTCTGCTGTACCCAGACAGAGCTTTTCAATAAAACTGGGTGTATGAATGTTTGTATGTCTTGTGGCYTCTGTTAATTTCTCCCCCATCTGTCTTCCTCACGCCTCTTCTCTGCCCTCTTTTCTCTTAGACTGTGGGGCATGGGTTCCCTCACCAGCCCAGTGCTCTGGCCTTCGACCCCAAGCTGCAGCTGATGGCCATCGGCACAAAGTCGGGCGCCATAAAAATGTATCCTTTCATCATAGGTGAGCCACTGCATYGAACAGAATTAGCTCTGAAGCCATCAAAACTCATCTTTTGCTGTCAGTTTGCATCTTACCAGTGGCCTTTATCTCCCCGTCGTCTATAAGTTCAGTGCTAGCCAACATCACCACTAACCCTCTGGGTCTGACAGCGCTTCATTGTATTTTTCTTTTTTTAAACGATGAGGAAATGCCAAGCGGTTGTGACTGCAGAAGAGCTGTTTATATAACATGGGTCCGGTGGGGCTCTGTGCGTGATCTCTGTGGGAAGTTGTGCTGTCTGCTTCACTGAGGTGGAGTCGAGACGACTGATCTGTCACAGTGTTAAAAGAATGGTACAAAACTGTTACATAGTTTACATGGAAACCTTTTATTAGTTTTCATTGCACGAACACAAACACTGTCTATCAAACACTACTAACCGTCCCAAATCTAAATTTGATTAGTTTTTACATTAGTTGTATATGTATCCATCTTATGTCCATCTTAATTTCATTTGTATACAGTTCTCTGTAACTTATGTCTGCTTGTCTCTAACTGTATTTTCACACATTCTTCTACGATGTGGCTATTGCTGTAAGTGTTCTTGGGTGTCCTGAAAGGTATTTGCTGCAGAAACATTTATAATTCTTCCAGAATAACCATGTATTGGAAAATTGATGACTATTTAAAGGTTTTAAAAAAACGTGTTTGCATAAACTCAACAAGTGAGGATAAAAAAATATGTAGTTCTAAGATGGACGCAATCTTTGATCTTGGCCCTGCTTGGATTAGCCATTAGCTCATCAATCTGATCAGAATAAAACTCTGCTTCTCTAAACTGTAGTTGTTTAGAAGAAAGATCAACCTAATTTTAGGGCAGGGCAATAAAATAATAATGATATAAACTGTGATCAATATTAATAGAAAATCTGTTCAATAGAACGTTAAAAATTTCACTTACGGAAACTTATGGACACGAAATTTACGTAGGGAAATAAGTTGCGGACCAGAGACTGTGACATCACACAACATCTACTGAAGCTGTAAAATCACTACCCAGTTGCTAAAGCCCAGCAAAGCAAGGTTGGTGGCATCAGCTAACTCCATTTTATTAAGCTAACAACAAGCTGTTGAGTAACATGCGCAGTAGCAGTTTCATGCTTCACCTTTATGCGTCATAACTGCTCAAAAATGAACAAGAACAACGTGGAGTGTTTGGAAGAAATGAGTGCAACAGCTCGAAAGTAAATTGTGGACAAAAGAGGAAATGTTGCGTCGCCAGTTTGGCCGGATTAATCAGCCTTTTTTCTCCTGGTTCTTATTTTAAAGGGGTAAAGCAAAAAACTAATCACTAATTATCTACAGTATATTGACTGAAGGAGCTCCTATAAACATTTTTCAACCATATTGCCCACCCCTACTTAATTTATAGTTTCATAGCTGTGATTAGTTTTGTGGTTTACAATATATTTTCCACAGTAACTAAAAGCCTCAGGTCAGGGGTACTATTATCAACTAGACTGTCTTTTCAAAACCATTAAAGAGTTTATTTGTTTGGTCTTTCAGTGTTCTTGTGACACTAAAATTAAAAGAAAACAATGATAACTTAAATCTGCTGTGGCTTGGATGCTTAAAATACCCTTTTTGGTTTCTAAATCTAGACAGAACCTTACCTCTGACCTTGGTGCAGGCACTACAGGATTCTCCCAGTAACGCCGGATGAGTTGAAGTGCAGCAGCTGTGGGAATAAGTGTTGGTTTGGTTTGTCTGATGCGTTGCAGCAAAACTATAATTTGGCTCAGGGTTTCAATCGCGTCAGACGATCCACCAGCTTGACGGCTGCCGCTCCGTCCACACAACACTGTGACTTGTCTGTTGTCTCTGAGGCAGACTGCTCTGTCATGCCTTTAGAGTGAGGACAAATACTCTGCTGTGGTTTTTTGAGGGTTTTTTTTTTTTTGTCTTCTGTTCAGACAGGTGAGCTGCTTGGAGCACAATCACCCTACCACAGTAAAAGCTTGATATTTAGATTAAAACTTTAGCATCAGTTGTCTTAAACTGTTACATATACACTCACCGGCCACTTTATTAGGTACACCTGTCCAACTGCTTGTTAACACTTAATTTCTAATCAGCCAATCACATGGCGGCAACTCAGTGCATTTAGGCATGTAGACATGGTCAAGACAATCTCCTGCAGTTCAAACCGAGCATCAGTATGGGGAAGAAAGGTGATTTGAGTGCCTTTGAACGTGGCATGGTTGTTGGTGCCAGTAGGGCTGGTCTGACTATTTCAGAAACTGCTGATCTACTGGGATTTTCACGCACAACCATATCTAGGGTTTACAGAGAATGGTCCGAAAAAGAAAAAACATCCAGTGAGYGGCAGTCCTGTGGGCGGAAATGCCTTGTTGATGCCAGAGGTCAGAGGAGAATGGGCAGACTGGTTCGAGCTGATAGAAAGGCAACAGTGACTCAAATAACCACCCGTTACAACCAAGGTAGGCAGAAGAGCATCTCTGAATGCACAGTACGTCGAACTTTGAGGCAGATGGGCTTCAGCAGCAGAAGACCACACCGGGTGCCACTCCTTTCAGCTAAGAACAGGAAACTGAGGCTACAATTTGCACAAGCTCATCGAAATTGGACAAGAGAAGATTGGAAAAACGTTGCCTGGTCTGATGAGTCTCGATTTCTGCTGCGACATTCGGATGGTAGGGTCAGAATTTGGYGTCAACAACATGAAAGCATGGATCCATCCTGCCTTGTATCAACGGTTCAGGCTGGTGGTGGTGGTGTCATGGTGTGGGGAATCTTTTCCTGGCACTCTTTGGGCCCCTTGGTACCAATTGAGCATTGTTGCAACGCCACAGCCTACCTGAGTATTGTTGCTGACCATGTCCATCCCTTTATGACCACAATGTACCCAACATCTGATGGCTATTTTCAGCAGGATAATGCGCCATGTCATAAAGCTGGAATCATCTCAGACTGGTTTCTTGAACATGACAATGAGTTCACTGTACTCAAATGGCCTCCACAGTCACCAGATCTCAATCCAATACAGCATCTTTGGGATGTGGTGGAACGGGAGATTCGCATCATGGATGTGCAGCCGACAAATCTGCGGCAACTGTGTGATGCCATCATGTCAATATGGACCAAAATCTCTGAGGAATGCTTCCAGCACCTTGTTGAATCTATGCCACGAAGAATTGAGGCAGTTCTGAAGGCAAAAGGGGGTCCAACCCGTTACTAGCGTGGTGTACCTAATAAAGTGGCCGGTGAGTGTATATCCCGCATGTTTTCCTTTGTGGGACCTGCTGTGGAGAGGAAGTGATTTATCACAACAAACATGTCGGTGTCCAGATCCAAAACTGTATTCATAGCAGCTGTGTATAATTATGTAGTCAGAACACATTTATCTGTGTGTGGAAGGGGCCTGTGCATGTTACGTGCAGATGGATCAGACTAGAGAATCGACTCTTTTAGATGCTGCTTTAGGAAAGCAAAGAGAGAGAGAGAGTGTGAGATGCTGGTGGTACCAGGCACTCGCACCACAGAGAGAGAGAGAGAGAGAGGGCGAGATGGATAGAAATGAACAGAGGCAGTAAAACCGGGGGAGTAAGGCATAAGAGCTCAACTCTAAAATGTTGTATAACATAAAGCTAACTTATCACCCTACATTTCAWCAAAGTCCCAGCTGCTTTTGACTTATAAAAGATATCAACCACAAAGTACCTAAAGTTTTTAAGTATACATGCAGGAGCTATAAAACGGCTACTGTAGTGACGATGGAACCTTCTTTAAAAAAAAAAAAACGAATACATATTCAGTTGTTCTTGGTTAAAAACAAAAACATGAAAACTGAGAAAAGAAGCAACAAAACAGGTTACCTCACACTAAGTATTAATGACCAACAAACATGGTGTGAAAGTTAGGGCTGTGTATTGGCAAGAATTTGGTGATACAATACTTATCATGATACAATATATTGTAATGTAACCAAGGTGAGATATTAACATCTGTTCTCCAAAAAAGTTATTTAAAAAAACTCAGCAGGAGCCTGTCTAATCTGCTCAGATTCAGCCATCAGTACTTAGTGCTAATGTTTATTTACAATGCTAAYGTTTGAGCTAGTATTATGCTTTAGAGAATCTATGCAGTATCGGGAAATGAAATATCATGATATTTGAGTGTATTGATTGATTTTTTTTTTTACAGTAAAAGTGTTCATTACCAGATTTATCAATCTATGACTAGGAAAGAATAATCATGCAGTCTAAAAAAAGACATTCTTTGATCACATAGAAGATGAAGCTGAAAATGACAGAAAACCTCCCTATTATATATTTGTGTAAACATAGCCTGAGAATTGTCTTTAGAAATGCCATGTGATAAATTCAGTTTGATATTTAGTGATGTATTCATTAGTAGGGGTGTAAGAAAATATCGATACACTGAAATATCGCGATATTTCATTTCCCCGATACTGTATCGATATTCTAAAGCCCTGTATCGATTTTTTATTAAGGTTTAAAATGTCAACTTTCCTGCCAGCCATTCATTTTTATGTTGTTCAGCCTCTGACCACTAGTTGGCAGCAGTGAGCCAGACATTCGGCTCCTCTACCTCTTGAGCTCCAGAGAGTAAGAGAGCATTAGCATTGTAAGTAAACATTAGCTTCATGCTCCGATAGTTGAATCTGAGCGGAAAAGACCGACACCCTCTGCCTTCTAAGCTGAGGTAAGGTTACAAACAGTTACTTATTTGTCAGAATGTCTGTATTTTAAGCCAAATTAAGTGTCTTTTGCGCTCTTTTTTCCAACTGTAGTCAGCTTTCACGTTACGCATATAGCGCATGCGTCTTTCACCTCGAGTGAGCTCGGCACTCCATCTGTGACATAAAACTCTTGTCTGTTGCCCTCATTAGCTACGTTTACATGGGCAAAAGTAATCGGATTAAACAACCGTTCTGAATAAAAATGCGTCATGTAAACACTT